GAAAGTAAAAGAATGGGGAAAAGATATACTATGCAAATTATAACATGAGAGAATTTTCCAGAATTGAAGAAAAACATGAATCCACAGATCTATGGAGCACACACATGAACATATCATAGTGAAACTGCAGAATGATAAAAATCAAAGCAAGATCTCAACAGCAACCTGAGAGAAATTAAAACTACCTACAAAGACAATCGGGTTGATAGTAGACTCCTTAACAGCAACAACATACAGATGACAAAAGAGTATCTTCAAAACACTGAGAGAAAGTTAATGTTAAGCTAGAATTCCCACAATAAGCTAAACTGTATCAAACAGTATGGGTAAAATATATTTTTTGTTAAAGTTCAAGTTTGCTACTAACAGATATTCACTGAAAAAATTACCAAGAATATAGGTGGAAACAATGAGATGTAAGGGGGTAAAGTGAGGAGTAAAAAAGGTAGAGATGTGAGTATATATAATCAAGAGCTAATAATATAAAAAGTAACAATAATAATGGAGACTAATTTGACAGGTTAAAAGGTAGAACTAAAATACTGGGCAATAAGTCCACATAAGAAGGGAAGAAGTCAAGGAAATTAAAGTGTCCTAAGTTCACTTAAGTATTTGAGGTGATGGGCCTGTCAATTCACTTGATTTAATTATTCCACATTGTATTCATAAATCATAACATTACTTTGTACCCCATAAATATATACACCTACAATTTGTCAATGTATAATAAAAATTAAAAGTAAAATAGGCCAGGCATGGTGGGTCACGCCTGTAAACCCAGCACTTTGGGAGGCCAAGGCGGGTGGATCACGAGGTCAGGAGATTGAGACCATCCTAGCTAGCACAGTGAAACTCCGTCTCTACTAAAAATACCAAAAAAAAAAATTAGCCAGGTGTTGTGGCGGGCACCTGTAGTGCCAGCTACTCGGGAGGCTGAGGCAGGAGAATGGCGTGAACCCGGGAGGCAGAGCTTGCAGTGAGCTGAGATCATGCCACTGTACTCCAGCCTGGGCGACAAAGCAAGACTCTATCTCAAAAAAATAATAATAATAATTAAAATAATAATAACAATAAAAATAAAATAAATACTGAAAGAAACCAAAGAAGAACTTAATGAATGGAAATACATCCAATATTCAAGGATAATAACACTTAATATTGTTAAGAATACAATACCCCATCTATACATTCAGGGCAATCCCTTCAAATTCCCAACTACATTTTCTTATAGAAATCAACAAGCCTACCCAAAAATCATGTGTGTACGCAAAGGAAACACAAAACACAAAGCAATCTTTAAAAGGAGTAACAAAATCGTATAATTTCAACTTACCAAAATCAACACTTACTACACAGTTACAGCAATCAAAGCATGTGGTAATAGCATAAAGATAGGTTCATGCAGACCAATGGAATAAGTTTTAAGGTTCATTAATAAACACATGCATTTACAGTAAATTGATTTTGAAAAAGGGGCCAAGAAATTTCAATGAGGAAAGAAAAGCCTTTTCAACAAATGATGCTGGGAAAATTGGATATCCACATTCCAAAAGATAAAGCTGGACCCCTAACTCGAATTACACACACACACACACACACACACACACACACTACTCAAAGTGGGTCATACATCTAAATATACATATTAAACTACAAAATGCTTAGTAGAAATATTAGAGTAATTTTTTGTGATCTTGCATTAGACAAAGATTTCTTAAATTTTGCACCAAAGCACAATCAAGAAGAGAAAAATTGATTAATTATGCACCATCAAATTTAAAATGTTTTTTTCTCCAAACAGCAACATAAAAAATATAAAAATACAAATCACTGAATGGTAGAAACCACTCCAGCTGACAGCTTGATCAGATTTCTAGCCTCCAGAACTGTGAGAAAATAAATTTTTGTTGCCAAAAAAAAGAACAAGAAGGGAAGAGGTCATCAAAATCAAAATGTTGGCCAGGTATGGTGGCTCACATCTGTAATCCCAGCACTTTGGGAGGCCAAGGCAGGTGGATCACCTGATGTCAGGAGTTTGGAACCAGCCTGGCCAACATAGTGAAACCTGTCTCTACTAAAAATACAAAACAATTAGCCAGGTATAGTGGGGCAGTTATTCGGGAGGCTGAGGCAGGAGAATCGCTTGAACCTGGGTGGCGGAGGTTGCAGTGAGCAGAGATCTAGCCACTGCACTCTGACCTGGGCAACAAAGCCAGACTCCGTCACAAAAAAAAAAAAAAAAAAAAAAAAAAGTCCTAGGGTCTCTGCATTGTTCAGGAGGAGTACAGAAAAAACTGTCAGCTTCAGTCATTAAGTCAAATATGCATATGAAAATTATAAGGGTAACCACAAAGAATAAAATAGGATATATAACTACTAAACCAGTGTGGGATTTGGTGGGGAGAAGAATAAAGAAAACTCAAACCAAAAGGAGGCAGCAAAGGAACAGAAAAGCATCAGCCCAAAGGCAAGATAAATACAAGTCCCAAAATAAGATGATAGAAATAAATCCAAGGGTTATGGCCTGGGTCATCACAGTACCCTAGGTTTAGGCCAAGGGGTAATCACAGATTATCAGTAATCACAATAAATATAAATGTACTAAACTCTCAAGCAATTATCAGAATGGATATAGGTAAAATGTAGCTATAATTATTTTCAAAAAATATACCTGAGACGTAGACAAAAAGCTTTAAAGTAAAAGATGGAACAAGGTGTTCCAGGCAAATACTAAACAAAAAAACAATAGACTTAAGGGGAAAAAAAGTATTATGAGACATAATAGGGTGACATCTCTAGTGGTTTAAACTTATTTCATCTTCTATAAAGCAAGAATAAGAAGTCATACCTCCAGGCTAAATATGTCAAGTATATGTGATGTTAGATAGTGCAAAGTGCTAAGAAGAAGGAAAAAGAGCAGGAGGAAGAAGGCGGAGAAGACCTCAACAATGACAGCACAGAGAAGGGGAATAGGAAATGTTGGAAGGGGGGCGTTAAATTAAAATTTTAGAGCCTTTGGGAAAAGACCTGAAAGAAGTGAGGAAGTGATCCATGGGAGTGTCTGGGAAGGTGACACCCAGGCAAAGGTAGTAGCAAATGCAAGGGCCCTAGGGAGTCTCGTGTGGCTGGAGAGGGAGGGGAACAGCGTTAGAAGAGGAACTCAGAGGCAGCTCCACTCCAGCGAGGTCACCAGGTCATGCAGGCCTTGAAAGCCATGGTTAGGTTCCTGAGTTTACTCTGAGCAAAGTGAGGGTTTTGAGCAGAAGAGTGAGTGAGTGTGATTATAGTTTTTAAAGATCATGCAGGCTGTAATGAGAGAGGATGAAGTGGAGCAAGAGCAAATACAGGAGACCAACTAGAAGGCAGTGCCATCATCCAGACAAAAGGACATGGTGCCTGGAAGAACCGGTGGCAGTGGAGGTGGTGAGGAGCGGTTGGATCCTGGATATATGTTAAAGGTGGGACCAGCAGGATTAGCTGAAGGATTGGATGTGAGTTGTGAGAGAGAGAAAGTGGTCAAACTGACTTCAGGCTTTTAAACCAGAGCTTCTAGAAGGATAAAGTTGTCATCTGAAATGGAGAATTCAGAGGATAGAGCAGCAACTGCGGCAGCGAGGGACGGGAGGGGATTGTGGAGGGTGTGTGTATCAGCAGTTTAGTTTTGGACATCTTAAGTTTGAGATGTCTACTAAACATCCAAATGAGACTTCAATGCACAGTTAGACATATATGCCTGGCATTTACGGGAGAGTTTGGGCTGGAGATATACATTTGGTAGTCATCAGGCTCTCAGCCATGAGCCCGGACAAGATCACCTAAGGAGTAGGTATAGAGAGAAGTCCAGGGGTTGAGTTCTAGAAAACTCCAGTGTTCACATCCTGGGGAGTTGCAGAGGCACCCAAGACACAGACTGAGGATAAGCAGCCAGGGAGAGAATCCAGGAGAATGTAGAGGGCATGGTGTCCTCCAAGCCAACCAAGTACAGTCTTTCAGGAAGGAGGGAGTCTTCAACTGTGTTACATGTGACTGATGGGCCAGGTAAAATGAGGGCTAAGCATTTAACTCGTGGGTTTAACAACATAGGCTGGTCTGATGTAAAAAGAGAGCTGTGCCATTCAGATTCCCTGGTTCAGGCGATGGAAAAGGAATACTGAGAGACTGCAGCAGTGAACAATGGGAGCCAACGTGGATGGTCTTTTGCATTGCATTTTTTCCCCAGCATACAGTAAAAATAGCTAACCTTTATTGAATGCTGGCTATGTGCCAAGAACACTATTATGATGCCTATTTTTAAAAAGGGAAAGTGGGGCTCAAAAAAAGTCAAGTAACTTGCCCCAGGTCACTCAGCTGGTAAGTAGCCAAGCTGGAATTCAACCCCATCTCGTGTGTTTAATTACTAAACGGCACTGCTTCCGTCTAATTAAAGGGAAAGTCTGTACTTAGATATGGAACTCACATTTCTCAAATGCCATTTTCAGGCCAAGTACCTTGTGTTTGCATACATTTTCTCACGGAACTCTCACAAAACCCCTGCAAAATAACTGTCCCTACTATTGCCATTTTAAAGACGAGAAACAGAGGTGTTGAAAAGTAAGGTCTCTTGCTTGTGGTTCCTCAGGACAGAGGGGCAGGGTGGCAGAATTCAGGCCCAGATCATGTCTGAGACTGCAGCTTGGCCTGTGCCCTGTCTGTACAAATCAATCCTACCTTTTACACGGGGGCAGGGAGGAAGCAATCGGGCCTGTGGAGAGCCCCAGGGCTCTGGAGTTGCCCTTACAAGCTCATCACTTTGAGGACACTTGGTGGGTTTTAAGGCTGTGATTCTCTGAGACTCCCAGCCTGAGTCAGCTCCAGGAGTCCTAAGGCAGGTTTCCCAGTTTCCCCAGAGCCAGGCCTGAGCTCTCTCCACGGGCAGACCCTCTGATTTTAAGTCCTAAGCTAAGCATGGCACCGAATCCCCTTTTCACTCTTTCCTCCAGGCATACTGGGCCTCTCCCTACCTGTCCAGTGGTGAGGGAACGGCTGTAGCCAGGGATGGAGCTCCGGGGGTGGATCCGGGGTGGGACACAGCAGCTGGGAAGGGCAAAATTCCGGAGTCAGAACAGTGGACTGCTAGGAGGTGGGGGAGGGGAGATAATAGCACTGGGGCCCCTGAGCAAGTCCTATTCCTCAGAACCCCCAAAGAGAGATCCCTTAGGAGATCCTGGGTAAAGAGACTCCCAAAGAGGCACCAGAGAAGGACTCCCACCAAGACCCTCCCTTTATGTGGAGCGGAGTGAGACACCCCAGTTGAACCCTAAGCAGGACTACCTGACTTTCACCCACTCTACACACATCTCCCGCAGGAATCCAGCATCAGCCTCCCGACCCGCACCCCCCGGCCCTCCCTGTCCTTACTTGATCCTGGCCTGGTCCACGCTGGAGGAGCGACGGGTGGTGAAGCGTCGGGCGACTGCTTTGGGAGATGTCTTGGGGCTGCCGTCTGAGTCTCCGCTCTCCTCATCCCCCATGGCTTTGATGTAGCTGCCGCTCCGCATCCTGCGGCAGGGGATCTCCCCATCCTTGCCACCAGTGGGGTAACCCCCCCAGTCATCTTGCGGCACCTGCAGGAACAGGGGCCTCTGTCTCTCAGACTTGACCCTAGTAAATCTAGAGGCCAGGACTCTTTCCCCACTGCCAGTGGGAGGTGCTCTGCCCTGGCTTAAACAGGCCCACTCAGGTACATGCAGAGGCAGAAGGGGAGGGTCTCAGGCTGTCCCCCTCCCTTACAAGAGACACCTCGTCATCCTCCACAGACCTTCTGCACTTAATTAAGGGCCACCTAGACAGTCTGAGGGAGTGACATGACAGGCGTCAAGCAGTTGATGATCAGAGGCCAAAGTGACCGGTGTCAATTCCATGCCCGGCAGTCAGGCATCACCTGACCTCAGTCAACCTTCTACCCTTCCTTTTCCTTCATCCTTTCAACCTGCTTACATTCCAAATCCTCTCTCCTTCCCCGCTGTGGGGAGCCACAGAGGGCTTCATGCAGGGGAGTGACATCAGATTTGTGTTGCAGAAAGAGCTCTCCCACAGTCCAAACAGAGGCTGGATTGTGGAGGGCCAGGAGCAGGGCAGAGGCTCAAGTGGCGAGAGGACGACCAATTAGGAGGCTGACGCTGTTATCCAGGCAAGAGATGATGAGGCCTAAATTAAGACAATGACAATGAGGGGGAAGAGAAGGAGATGGAAATGAGAGGTGTTAAGGAGCATCAGTGAGCCTGATTAGACGTGGGGGATAAGGGGGCGGGAGGAGTCGAGGATGACTGCCAGGCTGCTGGCTGAGGACCTGGAGGAGGGTGCTGCCGCTCACTGAGCCATAGAACCCCAGAGAAACAAGTCTGGGAAAAGGTGGTAGGGTCGGGGTTGAGCACCTTGAGCTTGGCTTAGAACTGTTGAGCAGGTGGTTGGATGTTTGGTTCTGGGATTCAGTGGGGAGATCGGGGTTGGAGGCGGACATGTGGGAGTCATGGGCGGCAGCTGAATCCATAGCAGTGAATGAGACAGCCCAGGGGAGAGAAGAAGAGAGATGAGCAGAGATCCACTGACATTTAAAAAGGGACTGTGAAGAAAGGAAGAGGAGCCTGTGAAGTCACCTGAGAAGGAGTGGGCAGAGGGGTAGGAGGGAAGTCAGGAAAATGCCATGTCATAGAAACAGGAGACATTTCAAGAATAAAAGGAGTCGATTATGTCAAATGCCACAGTGCGTTCAGAGGTTAGTAACTCAGGCTCGGGAGTTAGAAGATTCATGTGCAATTCTGGCCCCATCACTTGCTGGATAGGTGAACTTAAGCAAAACGGATTAACCTCTAAGTGTCAGTTTCCTTGTCTGCGAGTTGGTCATGATACTTATGCCTACATCGGAGGGTTGGTGGCAAAGATAAATGAGCCAATAGAGAGTTTCCAGGACATAGAAAGTGCTCAATAAATGGTAACAATTATTATAGGCACCAAAAAGTACCTTTTGAAGACAGCTCTCAAGAGATCATCTATGGCCACTGCCAGGGCATGTCAATGACAGGAAGTGTGGAAATCAGACCACAGTGAGGGGAGAATTGAAGGGAAGTGAAGAAGAGGCGTCTATGCTCTAAGAACTTGATTATGAAGGACATGGAAGGTGGGATGGTGCTGCAGAAATATTTTTTAGGATGCAAGTAACTTTGGACATGTTTTCAGGATGACAGAAAGAGCCAGTAAAAATAGTCTTTAAACCTCAGAAGGGAGGAGAACAGTTCAGGGATGGAGGGGGTCATGAGGAGATGGGCTCAAGCCCTGGAGGAAGGATCAGCCTGGGATGGGTGGTCCCAGCTTTTCCTATGAGCCAAGGAAGGGGATGAGGGTGGCTGAGAATCTGGATGTGTCTAGAGAGATGCTGTCAGGAAGCTGAGGGAGTCTGTGATGTCAGCCTACACTTCGGAAAATGAGGTGTAAGTGAAGACGTGGGGGAGAGGTCTGGGGGAGGTAGGGTGGATTTAAAACCCTTGTTGTAAAGAACAGGTTAAATGGGGTAGGGATGGGAGCTCCAAAAGGGGTAACACCTCAGGGACAGCATAGGGTTCAGGGGGTAGGTGGAGACTCGGGATGAGAAGGAACCCATGGGGAGGAGCAGGCCTCTTCGAGGGGCTGGGGCTCAATCGGAAGATGGGAAACAAAGAGATGAGGCTCCATAAAGAAACAGGGGCTCAGAGTGGACAGAGGGATTCTGGAAGAGGCTTAAGACAAAGCTGGTATCCAGTGGGAGAAACAGGGCTTCAACAATCGGATTGGGAGTCCAACAAAGACACCTGGCCGCATGTGGCCAGTCTCCCCTGCTTTTGTACCAGGGGAGCACGAGGTTTTCTGGAGGGTCCCTGTAGCCCCTTGGTTCTACCCCACATGGGCTCAGACATCCCAGTCCTCAGATACCCTGGAACTCCAGATCAGAGGGATCATTCCCCTTCCCCATTCTCTACAGAGAGCAGCAGGCAGGTGGAGAGAGGCAGGCCAGCAGATGGGAAGGCCACACTGCAGGGTTCCCACTCTAGCCACTGCAGAGCTCCTCACTCCTCTGCAGGACACTGTGAGGTGCATGTTAAAAAGGAAGCCCCCAGGGAGGTCAGGGCAGCCCTGGAGAAGCAGCAGGGAGCAGTGAAATGGCAGTGAGTCTTCAGGGATGGCAAGGAGTCGGCTATGGGGGAGAAAGGATGGGTGTTCCCTCCCTGGACCCTTCAGTTCCCAGCTTAGAGCACCTCCCTACCCAGGGAGGGGGCAAACCAGGCCAATCCAGAAGTCCTGAATCCAGAAGTCCCTTCTTATTTGCTCTGTGGCCCTATGTGCTCCCTTGGGCCTTCATGAGTTCTCCAGGAGAGCCCTAACTTGTGCACAACTTACCTAGCAAGGCCAATGTCCCACCAAGACACACGCAGACTCTATTTTCCACACCTTTGAACATGCTGTATAGTCTCTTCCCAGAATACCTTTAGTCGGCAACTCCTCCACCGAGATTCAGCTCAGGGGACATTCCTCACCCAGGTCGGTGAGGTGTCTCCTCTGTGTTCCCAAGAAGCCCAGGACTCTCTCCTATCACAGCCTCACCACACTATATTCTATCTGCTTCCTTGTCTATTCCCACTGTACACTGTGAGCTCCTCACAAGAAGCATCTGTATCTTCATCTTTGTATCCACAGCACCCAGGAAATGCTCATTGAATAAATAGATCTGTATCAGCTATGTGGAATGCAGAAATACACTGAACCTCCAGAACTTGTATTGACTTTTTCTCCTAAAATTATGGCATGACTTAAGAAAACGATGTGGGCTGGATGAGGCTGGGGTGAAGGCTCCATAAAAAGTAGGAATCAGAGCTCCTGGCCTCACCTGCAGAGACCATAGAGATGGTAAGACAAGATGAGAACAGCATGCCAGCTATCACCTGCACCATCCACTCCCAGGAGGCCCTGCCTGAATTGTATCAGGGCTGAAATCCAGTTTGTCCCCTAACCTAGGAAAACACATGAGACACATGAAACTCCCAGGACCCCTCCACAGCTTCGGCTGTCCCACCACAGGTACCCCGGAATGACAAACTTCAGCAGAGGCACATTCTGGAAATAACGGATCTTCATATTCAAACATGTGGGCCACCCGGATTATAGCAGAAAAGAGGGCTGGAGAAGGCTTTGCTTTCCAACTGCTGACCTTCAATCTTAAGAGCAGCCACAGCTAAGGTGCACCTCAGTATCCTGTCCACTGCCTGTCCTCAACTTCATTATGCCTCCAACCTCCTAAGACAGAGATCAGCACAGCCTGTCCAAAACAGTAGGTCAGGCGGAAGTCTCCAGGGACTGACACATCATTAGAACAGAAGGGCCCTTCATGGCACAAATAGGGAAAGTGAAGCCCCAAAGGAGCTCAGAGTGACCCAATGGGGCAGGGCAGAGCCTCCCGGCATCCAGGCCCTCCATCACAGGGACAGCTGGCTCTCACCCAACACTTTCCACTGCTCCCTGGTTGACAAGACTGGTGAAGGCTGAGGACCCTGTTCCCCAACCCCCAAAAAGCCTCACCTGCAGATAGTGATAAGTCCTGGCTTTGGCCTTGGTCTCCGGACCCAGGAGCCCCTTGCCTGGCCCGGCCCCCGGGTATCCATCCCGGCCCTGGCTGACCATCATGGTATGCCAGGCACTTCGCTTGACCGACTGTCCATCCAGTGACATGGACATGCCAGTGCAGGCAAGGCAGCGGCCTTCCGACCCGCCCGAGCGCCCCTTGAAGCTCAAGTCCCGGTAGGACCCATCTGGACCCTCCAGGCAGAAGGGACCACCAGGCTCCCCAGGGGGCCTGCCACCCGCCAGGAAGCCACTATCACTGTCCAAGTTGTCATCGGAGCTCCACCAGCCTGTAGACTTGGCCTGATGCCGCCCATCCCCCTTGCGGTCCTTGCTCTTGCTCCTCTTGCTGTGCCGGGACTGGTGGTGGTGGTGATGGTGGTGGTGATGGTGGTGGTGGGAGGTGTGGGGGCCTCCGGAGCCTGGGCCAGGGTAGCTGTCTCCTCCAGAGCCACCTCTTCCCTCAGCCTTGGGCCCATTATAGTCCCGCTTCCCCGGCGCCTCCAGAGAGTGGGACTTGGCAAAGAGCTTCTGCACAGAATGAACCAGGTGCCGGATGCGGCTAGGGCTCTCGCTGCGGGGCTCTGGGGCAGTGCCAGTCCCTGGCGCTGGCCCGGGCCCTGCCCCTGCTGGCCCTCGCTGGTATGGTAGTGTGTGGAAGCCATCTTGTTGAACTGGCAACTGCTTTTCAAACTGATCCAGGAGTGTAGGAGGCAGGCGGGGGGCACCCTTGCCCTGTGGGTGGCCCACACAGTCTTCACAGGTGTCGAAGGGGCTCTGGCCAGGGTACATCCTGGGGAAGGTGCTGCTACCCCCCCCCAACCCCGGCCCCCCCTGGCCCTCCCTCAGGGCCTACCGACGGCCCCTCACTCAGGCTCAGGGGCCCTTCGGGAGAAATGTGTCCCAGGCCAGCTCTCGGGGCACAGAAGCGGGGCTCAGTGGAGAAGGCCTCCCTGGAGCCCAGCAGGTATGGGGCCCTGGCAGCTGGGCCCACGTCCATATGCTGCTGGTCAGCAAAGCGGGCTGGGCGGGGATGGCTGCCTCGGTCGCCATGGTAACCCCTCATGGCCTCAGCAAAGGCTCTTCATAGTCTTGGGGGCCAGGCCCCAGGAACCTCCTAGAAAAATAGGGAGAAAAGGTATTTGAATTGAACAGCCCTCTTCACCTAAAACCATCTTTTATTAGGCATCCTTGTATCCCTTTAGGTAATACATATCAATTTATTATGATTAATTTTACTATCCTCCCACAAATGGACTAAAAACTCCTTTAAACGGTCATAATAGACAGATAGACACTCAAGGGCACAAAGTAATCCCATCATTCAACGAATGCTGCAAATCCGATAAATACTTATTCACAGGAGGATATTCCCTCAGTCAAATGGGTTTTTAAGTGTCCTTAGAGACTGGGCACAGTGGTTCACACCTGTACTTCTAGCACTTTGGGAGTCCAAGACAGGAGGATCACTTCTTGAGCACAAGAGCTCAAAGCTGCAGTGAACTATGATTGTATTATACCACTGCACTCCAGCCCAGGCAACAGAGCAAGACCTGGCCTCTAAATTTTTATATATATATATATATATATATATATATATATATATATATATATTTGTTTGATTTTATATTTGTAAATGTATATTAATAAACATTTATAAATGCATATATATTTATATATGCATAGAAATATTTACATATATACATACATACACATTTATTTGTAAATATATAGATATACTTTGGGATGTGTGTTTGTGTGTGTGTGTATATCCTTAGTTTACCAAAAACAAAAGGATACCCAGGGAGACATAAAATATTCAAAGGAACCAGTCTTTAGGTGAACTAGCTTTTAACAAGCTGGCATTAGGCAAATAGATCCACAGCCACATCTCTACCCCAACCCTGCCCTACACCCCACTGTTGCAAGAGCCAAGCCTCAGGGTCACAGCTCCCAGCTGCTGTGAACAAAGAGAACACTGGACCCAAATCTACATATCCAGCACCATCCCACAGAAAAATCCCTCCCCTTCCTTCCATGCCCTGTGCATTCCATCTGGCCGCAGGCTCATTCTCCCTCTCCTGTGGATTGAAATAAGGAGAATCTGAGATGACTCTTCCTCCTTCCTCTTCTGGGTTCCAAATATTTCCCCTATGAAATTACCCCTTTTGCCTTTTACCCCCCACCCTCCACTCCCATTCCACTGGAGGGGAATCATGAAGGAGGAAAATCCGTGAAGAAGAACAGCAGCTACACAAAGTAGCATCTGAATCCTAAACTGGGATTGGAACTCAGGAGTTCCTCCTCCCAGGAACAGAGGGAATGCAAGACAGGAAAGCGATGGAGAAAAAACTCAGGAACCAGTGCTCCTGGCCTCCATCCCAGGCTTGCCAAGGCTACAGGACAGAGAGGTCAGCTCCCAGCAAGAGCTGCCTCCAATCAGGACTCCAGGAGCTGCCAGGATAGGAGCTACGGCAGGAGGGAGTGACAGCAGGAGGGACAGGGACAGAGGAGCTGGCAGACGGTGCCCTCCCTCATCCTCGACCAGGCTCCTGGGCCATCTGCTGACTAGGAGGGATGACAGCCTCAAAGGCTCCAGACAGCGGCACCTCCGAGACTCATTCTCTTTCTCCCTACCACCACCTCCCCACACCCACCTTTCTTCAGATCCTGCTCATCCCTCATCTCCTACTATTTCCCAAGTACTTGCTATATACCAGGTATTGTGCATACCTGATACTCTCTAATCTTACTGAAATCTTGTAATGCAGATATTATCCACACTTACCCATGAGAAAATTGAGCTCAAAATGGTGAGGTCACACAGCCAGTAAGTGGATGAGTCACTTTGAATCAAGATTCAAACCCATTATTCTGGCATGAGAACCTGAGTCTAATCCCCGCTCCCAGACTCTTCTATCACTCACCATCCAGGGTGTCCCATCCTTAATGTCAGGATCCCCACCACCAGGCAGAATCCTAACTTCAGAAGGCTCAGGACCACTGGCTCCTGATGGAAAAGAAAAGGATGGTAAGCAAAAGGGGAGAGATGTTTTCCCACAGTCCTCAGAGGACTGGTCTCTGGCCCTGACAGTTTCCCTTCCCAACCCCCACAAAACCAGGACTGATTGGATCCGCCATGATGCAGAGCCTTTGAACCCCCAGGGAAATGAGGTTGGCTTCATTATTCAAATACATGCAAATGAGCTTACAGGTTGGACTACCTCCAACTGCAGGTGTCTGTGGGATCTGTCCATGGTGCTGAGCCACTGCATTTTTTTTTTTTTTTCATTGCCCTCAAATATGATTCCATTCCACAAACATTTGTTGAACAGCTACCATAAGCAAGAGAGTGGGAAGTGTATAGAGGTGATTTAAGAGTGGTCCCTGTCCTCGAGGGGTTTATAGTCTAACAGGGGAACAACCTCTCACGTGACAGAGTTATTTCAGGCCACTTTATTTTTGCACAAACTGTACCCTCCTCCTAGAATTTCCTTTCATCCACCTCAAAGCCCTCCCCCTGGCTAACACTTACTCATATTAAGCCCCACCTTCCCTTAAAGACTTTCTGTGCTTTTATTCTAGGTTATGCTCTTTATCGGGCTTTTATAACACCCTGGGTGTCCCCATGAAAGCAGCCTTCACACTGCATTGAAAATGTCTGTTTTGGTTTCTGTCCCCCCACTTAGAATGTGGTCTTCTTCAGGATAGGAACCAAGTCCTATTCATCTCTGCATCTCCAGCACCTAACTCAGGGCTTTGCCCAGAGCCAGTCCTTAATAAATATTCACTAAGTAGACGAACAAATGACTGTGCTGTAAAGAGGTACCAAAATGTTAGGCTACGTCAGATGAGGATGGGACTAGATTCAATAGAGGGCAGTCAAGGAAGACTTCTCAGAGGAGAGGGTGTTTGTGATGGAGTACAAGATGTCTGTGTGTCCCATACACATAGGTGATGGGGAAGAGAACCTACCCAGTGGAGGAAAAAACAAGCACAGGGAGAAGAGGTGTGCAAATAGGGAATTCTAAGGGGTAGGCTCAGAGGGTTCTGGCAGACAGGGAATGGCAAATAGTGGGAATAGAAAAGAGAAATTCAGAAAGTAAGACGACCCTGAAGTTTGCAGCAGCCGTGACTGGAAGACTAATGATGCCATTATTAGACACAGGGACATCAGGAAGAAGAGCTAGCTTTGCAAGCATGATTAATAGTAGTGGAAGAGGCACAGTCAGACATCAGGAAGAACTTCCTGACCCTGAAGGATATGAGACAATGAAGAAGACTGTGGTTTCCTAAGAATCTTCCATAGAGGACAGGGTGAGACATGCCCAGCCCCTGGCCCACCCTGGAGCCTGAACTGTAGAAGCTGTTTGTTACACTGCCTAAAGGGAGACTTGGGTGACCTCACGGATACCAGCTGCCTGGTTCTGGATGACAATTCTCCTCCATTGCCCTTCTTTGGGGAAACAGAGGGAATTTCAGGTCAAGATGGCCTCTCAAGTAGTTGTTGAAAAAGCACTTGGAAGCATCTCTCTGCCTTGGAAAGAAGACAGAAAGACAGCCTGGTCCTTCATCCATGTCATTCTCTTTCCTCTTCCTGCCCCAGGCAAGACCTGTATCTGAGACTCACGGCACAAAAGGCCACTTTGGCAGAAGCCCAGATCGTCCCATTTGCTCTGTGTGTGGCGACATCAAGCTAGGGCCTCATGGAACTTCCCAGGGGTGGACATTCCCAGGTGCCCCTCTGTCTCCTGCTTCACGCAGGTGCTGCTGGCAAGCTGTTCAGCTTTCATCAAGATCCTATGAAACTTCAGCCCCTCTGGCATCAATCCACATTCTCCTTGCTCTTGTCTTGGAGAAGATGAGCCCTATAATTGCTGCTCTCCAGACAGATCACCCCTCAACTCCTTTACCCAGATGCTACAGGGCAGCCCTGTATAGTGAAAAAGCACAGGTCCTGAGACCAGAACGTATGTGACACCTGACGTACCAGAGGCGGCCTACCCTCTCTAAGCCTCAGGATACCTGCTCACCTATCTCCCAGGATTTCAATGAGTATCAAATAATAAAATCACTCTTACAAACTCTAAAAGATTAATACAGTGTAATCCCTCATGAGAAGCCTTTCTCTGGATTTACAAAATCCCCAGTGTCCAAATAGTAAACAGTATAATCAAAATCCAAATTACTGGGAGTAGGAGATATCCAATTTATGGATTTTCTAAAGAAAATATTTAATTAACAACTGGCTTCCTCCTATATATTATGCTTTATGATCACATTCCTCCCCCCATATCACTCGCCTTCACTCCATTACTAAACAAAATCAATGGGAGGGAAAAACAAGTGAGGAAGACACTAATAATTCAGTCCATCACCATGCCCTGTGGATTTTGCTTCCTAAAAAAAAAAAAAAAAAAGCAGATGTACCCATTTATTCCATATCCACCATATCACTGTTGGCTGACTCGCTAAAACTTATTCCCAGCCTCCTTGTCCTTATCTCAGCCTCCTTTGTAACTAGAGGCCACATGATTCCATTTTGGTTAATGATATATACATGGAAGCATAATGAGGGTTTCTGGGAAAGACTTCGCCTTTGTGACCAAAGGGGCAGGAATTGCTAGTGCCATCTTTCCTCCCCTTATTTTTAGCTTGACTACAACCATGATGGCCAGAGCTAGGGCCGCTATCTTGCCACCACAAGAGGCCTAGAGAACTGCAGAGATGTCAGTTCTGACATCATCGGGCCATGGAACCAACGTGAACAGTTGCTTTACTCCAGGTCTACATGTGATAAGGAATGCGCTCTTTATTTAAACCACTGTTGGCCAGATTTCCTGTAGTATTTGCAGCAGAAAGCACTGCTAATGAATCCAACTGTTCCTGAGAACACCATCTCCTGCCTGCATGCCTGCATGTCTTCCCCTAACTGGTCTCCCTGCTTCCGTTCTTACCCCACTCCAATCCAAATGGTCACTTGAAAATGCAAATCTCATCATGTCACTTCTCTGCTTAAAACTCTTCATTGGTTTATTGATGTTCTTAGGATAAAATGCCTTCACTTGTCCAACAAGACCTGCAGGGTCTGGCCCTTCCTACTTTTCCAACATCCTCTCACAACATGCTCCCCTTGCTTTCTCTGCGGCAGCCAGGACAGTCTTTTGTCAGTCCCATGATCCCTCGCATCACGCGGCCTATTCCCCCTGTTGGGAAAGCTTTTCCTACCCACCTCTGCCTTGCTAACTCCTACACACCCTTCAGATCTCAGCCCAGTTGTTGCTTCCTCGGGGAAGCTTTCTCTGGCCTCCCTGACTAGGTCAGATCCCCCTGCTGTTTGCTCTCAAGGCACCATGTACCTGTCTCTTATACTGTTACCATTTAAAATATGTGTGACTCCTAGATTGTCCGTCTCTCCCACTAGAATGTAAGCTCCACATAAATGCAGGAATTTTATCCATCTTATCCACTGAATTGTCCCCAGTCCCTAGAACAATGCTTAGCATATGGCAGGCATTTGCTGAGTGCATGTGAGTCTACAAAGAACAAGATCCTTTCATTTATGATATTTTGTGTGATTCCCACAACTATTCCAAGGGATAGGTATTGTCCGCCCCCCACCACCTTCCAGTGTACAGAAGAAGAAACTGAGATTTGGAGAGGCTAACTTGAGCTCCCCAAGATCACACTGAGAGCTGCTGTCAAAGCCAGAAGTCAAATCCAGTGTTGGCCGATTCCAAAGCCTTAGCTTTTCTCCTATCTGTGTTGCCAGCCCAGAGAAGTCAAACTTATTCAATGCCATTCTGAAGTGAGCAAAGTAATGAAAGTGAATATGTTTTTTTTTTAAAGTAAACAAACAAATAAAAAGACCTCATCCATACATATCTCCCAGAGCTAACCAGAGTGTGATTTAGCCTTTTCCCATGTGTGGTGAGCACTGAGTTTATACTAAGCCCAAGGTCACATTAGTATAGAATAAAGGACACTCCCTGAAGTCCTATGACAATTCTGGGTGCTGGTGTTATTTTCTCATTTTTATTGCACCAAGTCATCCATCCACTATCCCAGGACACAGAGAGCTGCCCGAATGGTGAGAGAGCCGAGGGAAGCAGCCACTTTTGCAGTAGTCTATGGTTGGCTGGAAAGTGGTGAGTGAAGGAGTCTGGGAGGGTGCCGTGTGTGACAAATTCTTCTCTGATGTAGCTCAAATCTATCTGGGAATGGAAGAAGTGGCACAGATGCCGTCACCAAGAAATTACCCAATTTAGCACCAACTACACAATCCAGCAATTAGTTTCTTAAACCGGAACTTGCTGGGGGCTGCCAGGCTGGCGGGGTTGTTGTTACAAATCTCACTGGGAAACCAGCTGTGTAATTCGCCAGGAGATTGTCACTGCCCCAAGCAATTACCTTCCAGAAAAAGAATGGAAAATGGGAGAAGGAGTCAGAGTTTTTCTCTCCCTCTCCCCTAGGGCCCTGCCCAGCCAAATCGGTTGGTTTTCCTTTCTTGAGAACTAGGCAACTCAGACTCCCTTGATTAAAGCAGTTATTGGTATGGACTCTGCCATCAGACTCTGTGGGCTCAAATCCCTTTCCACTCACTTAATGGCTGTGTGTACTTAAGTAAGTGATTCACCTCTCTTAACCTGTTTCCTCATCTGTAAAATGGGGATAATATTAGAGCCATAATAAAGATGTGAATGATGTAAGGTTTAACAAGGTAAAGCATATAAATCCCTTAGCACTGTCGCTGGCACATGATAAATACTCGCTAACGGTAGCTATCTTTATCATTGTTTCCTCCATTGGTTTACAGTAACATTGGGTAGGTCACTTAATTTCTCTGGATGACCATCTAAGACCAAAGATACTCACCTGGGGAAAAGATAAGGCATTCTTACTCTAGATTGTCCACATCCAGGTACCCAGAGATTCAGGTGTGTTTGACAAAGGCCAGTATCTCAGCGTTTGGCACAAAGTGATGCCTTGGGCCAAGATGAAGATTTCAAA